CAGTCAGAGTATTCAACTGCCATTTCTGCTAACTATTCAAAGCATTTTTGTAGGCTTTGGTCTTGCTTTTCCTGCTTATTCTCATACTGGATTTGTAAGGTTATTCTTCTCGCATCCTGTTTACTAAATCACGTAAGGTATCTGGATGTCTAATCCGGTATCATCCCTTTATTGCTGGAGCAGAAGGGAATGCTGGATTAATGGGAAAGCGACCATCTCCAAAACTGTCTTTTCAGTTTACTGTCCTAGGAGAGGAATGGGGAAGGAGCAGGGGGAGAAGGAGCTACCTTCTATTTAGCTTGTTTTTTCATTTTCCTAATTTAAGACCACACCTGTGTAAGACTCCATTTCTAAGCCTGCAGTAGAAACTTATCTGAGATTAAGGACACATCCTCAAAGACTTTTCAGGTTTTAAAGAGTTTGGTATTGTCAGTGAAAGCTGAATTAGCAACCAGGCATTTTATAATGAGCTATTTTGGGCTAATTAAATATTTTTGTTGTACCTCACTGCCTAAAGGGAAGGTACAGAGAGGATGGAACCAGACTTGTTCTGAATCATAGAATCGTTATGGTTGGAAGAGACCTCAAAGATCATCAAGTCCAACTGTATACCTGATGCCATCATGCCCGAAGAGGTAAATGGCACAAGCTGGAACACTGGCAATTCCAGTTAGGAACTGTAATTCCTTATGTCTAAGAAATGAAGCAAGAACAAAAGGAAAACAATGCTGGAATATGTACTCATATATGAAAATTGCATCTGCAATATTTTTCTAAAAAGGTGATTTAAAAACTGAAAATCAAAAGGAGGTATGTGCTGAGATGTGAAAACTCCTACTGGTGATTACATCCCCCACCCTATAAATACTTGGGCTTTATGGACATCTGTGTCCATGATCACGTAAAAACGTATTATCCTGGATAGAACCTTACTGGAGCCATACATGGAAAAAAAACCTAGATTCTTAAATTTCTCCACCCCCTGCCCAAAAAACATATAAAAAGCAACTGCTTTTAGTGTCAGTCCCATTACTAGCTTTGAATTATTTGTTACATTTAGCATCAGAAATTAATCAAAATCACCAGTTTATTGATTTCATTTAAATTGTGACCTTTCTGTTAACCATTATTATTAATAATTAAAATGTAAAATGAATTAGTAAAATCAATTACCTTAATTATGTGATTGTTTAGATACACAGCTCCTTTGTATTTAAGTCATCAAAAATCCCCAAAAGTTGCAGGGCTGCTATTCAAAAGGGACCTCAATAGGATATAGAAATGGGCTGACTGGGACGTCAAAGGATTCGACAGAGATTAAGTCCTGCTTTGGGGATGGAATAACCTAATCACCAGTACAGGCTGGGAGACAACTGGCTGGAAGGCAGTTTTCCAGAAAAGGACCTGTGTGTCCTGGCGGATAACAGGTTCAACACCAGTCAGCACGGCACTCTCATGGCAAAGGCTAACCCCATCCCAGGCTGGATTAGCAAGAGTGTAGCCAGGAGGTCAAGGAAGTGATCCCCCTCCCCCCCCCCCAATCTACTCAGCCCTTAACAAGATGGCATCTGAAGTCCTGTGTCCAGTTTTGGTCTCTCCAGTACAAAGGCCTGACAAACAGCAGCCAAGTCCAGCGGACTGCCAGCACGGTCAGGGCTTGGGACGCACATCGTACAGGGAGAGGCGCAAAACGCAGGCATCTCCTGGTCTGCAGCTACCCAATAGGGGGGTGCAGAGATGACTTCTCAGAGGTGCACAGCAGAAGGATGAGAAGTGAAAGGCACAAGTTGCAAAAAGAGTCCTTATATCTGACTTGATAGAAGGAAAACATGTTTTGGTTGGGTTTGGGATTTTTTGGGGTCTCTTTGGGTTTTTTTTGGTTTCTTTTGGTTTTCCTACTATGAGGGTGTTCAAACACTAGAACAGGCTGGCCAGAGCAGCTCTGGAATCTCCACCCTTGGAGATACTAAAAACTAGGCTGGAGAAGGTCTGAGCAACTGACCTATGGGGACTTCCTTTGAGCAGGAGAGGGATGTAGACAGCCTGTGAACGTCCCTTCCAACCTATGTAATCCTCCCATTCTCTGAAAAGTTTTTTTTATGTCAAACTGTGACACAAAAGCATGAACTTTCAGGGTTCAGATGACTTCTAATATGAAAACTGTAAAACAGGTTTTTTTCCAAGCTAAACTTACTGAAAAACTTTTGGTAATTATTATTGTCAAACTTGACTGTAACTACATATTCATCTTTTCTAAATGGGATACTGAACAAAGAATGGAAAAATCTTTAAGAAGAAAATCTGTTGAGGAAAAAAAAGTCCATTCTTAATAGGTAAATTGTTATGCAGCTTTTTTTCCCCCATACTCCACATTTTTCACAGGGATTGGAAGCAAAACATTCACCATTATAAAGGGTATTCTCATAGGTCATTAAAGATATGACAAAACAATGAATTGGAAAAATTTTCACAGAATATACAAAAAGGCAGTTGTTCTAAGATTTCCAGACCAGAGAGGCTTGGATAAGTATTTGAGCCAAACCTCTGAACAGTTTGAGGGTTGTCCTTTCCTCTTTAATACTATGGCTTGAAGGCACAAAAAATTAGTAGATCATTGTGATACCTTCAGAGAAAAGCAGTATTAAGATATGAAAGCACACTCACTTGTTATTCTCAATGACTTAAACAAAAAGAAAATTAAAACCATAGAACTCCACAGAATTTCAGCTTCTTAGAACTTCTCTGGCCACTGAATTTCTGAGCCAAGTAATTAAGATTTAGTTAGTATAACACAAGAAGGTACATGCAAATAAACAATCTGTGAAATGGGAAAAAGACTACCATGCAAAGGACTTCCTGCTG